TCGGGGAGGAGAAGTCCTCAGTCCTGCGCAGCTTGTAGGAGCCCATGCTAAGAATAACTGATAAGAACAGTATGTGATGAAACCAGCCCCACCTTTGAATGCGGCACTGTAACAATCTTATGTGCACATATTAACTCAGGAAAACTTCCTGAATTCCTAAGAAGAGGTCACAATTTGCAGATGAGACTCATGGGGCTCAGTGAGAATGGAAGACCTCAGCTCCTGAGGAAGAAGGTACTGGAAACAACTTGGCCCCTTGGAGGAGGCAGGGGAAGGCTCAACACAGCCCTGGCCAGGTAGTGGGGGCGAGGGGGCCATCACAAGGAAGGGGGAGGAGTGAGCTTTGCCCAAGGTCCCCAGGACCCTGCAAATGACTCACTGGCAAGATGTCTGCCTCTCGCTCACAGGGCATGCTTGGGATTTGATGTACAGAATATAATCCTCACACCACCTGTGGAGTTGCTGGTAAAAGATCGAGAAGTGAGCCTACATGCAGGTGGGGAAATACTGCAGATTCATGAGTTTGCACAAGGCGCCACTGCAAATGTAGAGATCCCTGCCTCCTCTTCCCTATTTAAAGCATTGTTTTGGCACTGAGATCAGCAAGAGGGCAGTCAAGGACATTAGGGTTATGTTGGACCCTGTGTACAGCACGATCTTCCTTTTAACCGGAACATGTCCTTGTCCAAATGGGCAGAGGGCCTGATGTGTGTCAAGACAGTGTAGCTGAGGTCCAGGCCCCGGGCAGCCTAGTCATCTCCTAGACGCACTCCCCAGGGTGGGGCGTCCTGTCCCGTGAAGGGACAGGCTCACCATCCAGTAGCAGGACCGGGGTCCCAGAGTTAGGAGCCAATTGAGTGGCTGTCCTGCCAGAAATAGTCGCTCTGTGCCTGACTCTCTAATGCCCTCTCTCTGTGTCTTCTCTGTGCCTGTTACTTGGTCCCTCTCACACACCAGCCTCGGTATGACCTCACTCATGCCTTGAGGGCCCTTGCCTCACCTCTCCTGAGGGTATCATCGTTTTATGCGTATATGGGAGCAGTTGTGGGAGTTCCCCCTGAGTGTACAGGATTGTCCAGGGAAGTCATGTTCTGTTGCACAGGGGATGGCGAAGGGGTTCTTCCTTGGGGCAAAATGGGAGCAACTCCCCTTACATTGGGCGACTCGGGCTCTGGCCTCCTAAAGAGGCATGGGCCTTCTCTGCTAAAAACCCTCAAATGGTTCACTCAGAGTAAGTCAAAGGCCACTACCCCACTCCTAATGGCCCAGAAGGCCCTACAGGTCCTGGTCCCCACTTTTTCTCTGACTACCTCATATCCTACCACTCCTGTTATCATTCTATGCCAGCCACACCACCCGCCGCACTGCTCCTCATATGTACTAGTCTGAGTTCCACTCTGGCACTTTTCCACTGGCTCTTACCTCTTTCTGGGAAGATTTTTTCCCACTTGTTCATCTCTTCTAGGTTTCAGCTCAAATGTCACCATCTTAGACTTTCCTCTACCACTGTTTCTAGAAATGCTCCTCACGTTATTTCATTATTCCAATTTAATTTTAATCACAGCAATTTCCTACACCTGACAAATTACTTACATTTTTGTGCTGTATGATCCTGATAGAGTGTAAGCACCATGAGGGCAATTCTTTTCCCATTCCCACGGTCGTGTTCCCAACTCGCTTTATAGTGGCTGATAAATCACCTGGCAAGACTGAACGCAATAATGGAATAATATGGAACCAGCACGGCTAAGAGACTCATTTAAAATGGAGTCGTAGGCTGTTAGGGAAGTGGGGCCTTTGTACATCCTGAGCCTCAGTTCACAGGGCTGCTATTGAGTTGTCACCCTGATGCTAAACACAGCTCAAGGCTGAGTCATGAATAATCTGGAACAACAACTGCTGTATGGACACGTATGAACTTCTACCTCCTTCCTGTGGTTTCTGCCTTCCTCGTTTGCACGTTAAAACTAACTGATCCCTGCTAACCTAGCCAGCAATCCTTCATTTGTGTAAAAGAATTACACTTTTTGGTTATTGCCTTTATAAACCCTGCCTTTCTTTGTTCTCTCTGGAGAACAATGTGGGTTGCTACCTGGATCTGCAGTCCCCGGGTGGCAATTCTTTCTGCATAAATAAATTTTTTCTGTTCTTTATGAAGCCTGAAACTCTTTTCTGGGAAACAAATGAATGAAAGAATGAATGGATAAATAAATGCAAAGTTGTGGCGAGAGGCATGGCTTGATAGGCCGAGGATTCCCCTAGGGAACATGTTCAAGGGTGACAGGATTGTGACAAACCCATGGTCTTCATCTCACCTACTCAGTGTCCTTGGGGCCCCTGGGAGATGGCCCCTTCCCTAACATGACCAATGATCCTGCTGTCTCTCTCACCTACTCCTGATAGTCAAGGACTGAGACCTGCCCCACACCAGTCCTGACTCCAGTCGGGAGCTCTAGCCCTCTTGCCCCTTGGGGAGTGAGGCTGGGTATCCCCACTAGACCTATCTGCAATACCCAGGGAGACACAAGCCAGCACTTCGCTCAACCCACAGAAAACGCTTGCAACACTCCCTCTTATCATACTGGCCACTGCGGGGCGGTAAATTTCAGTTTAGGAGACTTTTTCAAGAATCCAAGACTGCAGCGAACTTGGGATTTTTATTTTTATGCTGACTTTGCCCTCCCACCCTTTGCGGACCAGCCTAGAAAGGTTCATGGGTATCTCTAAGGACAAGCTATTCCAGGATCGCACCACCAAGGGGCGCGCGAGAGGCAACAGCTGTGTCCTGGGACGTACCATCCAGGCGCTCAGAGGTATGACCATCCTCTCCATGAAGTATCACTTGAGGGGGGGAATCCATTTGAAAATAATCCATTGCGTTTCTGACGACACTGCGGGTACGCATACTCCTCCGCCGTGACCATCCGGACTCGGAGCTCTCAATTCTCCGGTCCCATTGGAGCCCGAGTGGACACGGTTCTGAGGCTGCGGCCCTGAAGTAAACATCATTCCACCCCTCCTTATCAACATGGTTTCACCCAGCCTGAGGTGAGGGGCGGTGTCATGGACAGCGCTGGGCGGCGACTGGCCACCGCGAGACTGACGGATTAAGCCCTTCCTGGGCGCAGAGTGCCTCTGCTTGGATCCCCAGTGGTGGCCTCGCTCTTCGCGGGTCCAGGCCTATTGGCCATCTGTGTGGGACGGCGCGACGATTGCCAGCTGGAGTTGAAGATGAGGCGTGTGTGCGTGCGTGTGCGTGCGCGTATTTTCATAAAATTTTCGTAAAATTTTTCTACGACTGACTGTCCGGACGCGGCTGAGGATGCCGCCCCCGCGCGCGCGCATGTTTTGAGAGCGTAAAATTTTTCTACGGGTTGGATTACCCACCGACTGACTGTCGGGTCAGGGCTGACGGGTGGCGGGTGGCGGGTGGCGAGGTTCAGCGCAATCGCTGGCTGGTAGCCAGAGTCCGACGCTGGATGCACGCCTGACGGTGCTGTCTTCACGTGCACGCCTTCAATCTCATTCAGCCCGAACTCAATCACCAGCCAAGTGAGGCGCGTTGGGCATGGCACCGTCCATCCAACAGATGCATGCGGTTAAGGTGCAGGGGCGAGTCTCAGCTGGTTTGGTGTCCCTGCCTAAGAAGTAACGTGTCAGGCCACTTGGGAATGTGTATCGCTAGGTGTGGCATCACAGCGGCTGTTTGGGTACCTTGATGTCTCTGAGTCTTTGAGGGACTTGCAAGTGAGTGGGATATTTTGTCTGAGTGGATTTTGTGCAACTGGTCTAAGGTCTCTTAGGGTTTGTGTGCCTGTGTACCTGACTGTGCCTTTTCTGAGCTTTGGGCAGTGTGTCCCTGGGTGTGAGATCTCCGAGTTGGTGTCCCCACCCCAGGGTATGAAGTCTCTGTGCAGTTCGTGTTTCCGGGTCCCAGGTTGTCGCTGAGCTGCGTGGGAGTGTGTGAGGCTTTATTTTAAGGTAGAAAGTATCCCGGCTCGTTAGGATTCTCTTCAAATTTATGATGTAGATGCCTTCACTTTTCCTTTTGTAGGCGTACTGTTCCATTTGGAAGTCAAGGTTGGTGCCACCTAAGTGGGTTCCTCCTGCAAGGAATTTGAGGACATCCTCCTCCTTCATTTGCAGGACATCATGGGCTCCGGTCACTGTGACAGTTTCTCTTTAAATTACCTGGAAACCAAGAACAAGGCCGTATGGACCCTTCTCCGGGTAGCACAGAAGGAAAGCTCTCTAAAGCTTTTAATATTAGTTAATGTCATGGCAATGTGTACTTGAAAGTTGGTAAGAATAGATCTTAAGCATTTCACCACAAAATATATTAACTGTGAGTGTGTGGTGATGGAACTGTTAATTACTTATGTATCTCGGGGAATCATTTCTAAATATACAGACGTCGGATCACCGTGTTTTATGCTTTAAGTATATACAATTATATTTATTAATTATTCCTCAAAAAATACTTTCAAAAGCACTTACTTTAGGAAACAAATGTTTGACTTCTTTATGTATTGTCGTCTTTCATTCTCTTCTCCCGCCCTCTCTCCATTATTTCTTCTATTCTTTCATTTTTTTCTATTTTTCCCAAGCTGTAAGGCATGTCATATATGGGCTTCACATCTCAATATCAGAAATGATGGCAATGATTGAAAACTAGTGACCATAGAATTTATTGTACAAACCGTAACACTTTTGAGTGTGTGAAAGGCATTACCATGATTACACTGGGACCAAAGTTGAAGTGGAATCACCTGGATACCCTACTTAGACTATCACTTAAAGACTTAAGTAGCCCGAGGGAACATTTTTGCATTTCTGCACCATTAGAGAGAAAAGAAATGTAGCAGTGGCCCTTCTATTTACTTCACATAAGCAGTACCGAATGCCACTTTTCTGTTTTAGCTATCTTCTATTCAGAAGATTATTTCAGGTCAAAGCATTTAAATGATACTTTGTTTTAAATTTCTTTTGTTTCTTAGATGTTTGGCGGTGTTGCTTGGATTTTTAGTAAAACCATACACAATATTTGCTTTTATTTAAAGCTTCTTTTTAACAGGTTCAATTCATGTGTTTTGAACGGGCACACTCTTTTTGTTTCATTGTACCAACAGAAAGAGTGGTGTGTTTAAGAAAAATGTTGGTAAAATATATGCCTAGAAGTTTGTCTTATAAAACCAAAACCGTCGTGTCCTTTGTATACTTTTAATGGCATCAAATCCAAATTCTGCTAAGCTGGTTTACCACCCTGTTATGTTTATCTTGCAAGGGAAGGGCAACCACAGGACTAACGGAAGAGGAGTTGAAACCATGCAAACTGTTCTGTGGGATATTTGCCTTTTAAAATTCTCTCAATAAAGTTTTACAGCTTTCTACAAAGAGTCTTGCCAATCTTTTGTTAAATTTATGCCCAGGTGTTTGATCCTATTGAAAAGCATCTCATTTTTGGACATTTTCTACACTGATCAAGCTGGTATATCCAGATGTGTTTGTCCATTGATATTCCCTCTAGTAAACTTTCTAAATCTGCTTATTAATTCTAAAACGTGATGTCTAGTCTAGATCCTTTTTAATTTTCAACATGCACAATCCTATCATTTTTTAATACTAACAGCTTTTTTTTTTTTTTTGCACTTTTCAACATTATGCCCCTTTTTCCTTTTCCCTGTTTACAACATTGGACAGAACCGCCTGGTACAGTGTTAAGAGAACTGGTAAGAGGGGACCATCCTTGTCTTATTCCTGATAGGAAACAGAAAATTGTTACCATTTCACCATGTTTACTGTGAAGTAACGGGAAGTCCCTTTCAAATCCAATTTTGTGAAAAATATATATCTTGACCGTATGTGGACTTCACACGCTTGCACATTTATTCCGAGGATCACAGGGTGTTTTTCCTCCATTAATGTGTTAATGTGGTGAATGACATAGGTAAGTTCATATATTTAAACAAACGTCGCCTCCTTGGCCGAGGGTCAGAGGGGAAAATTGGTCATGATGTATTATCCTTCTGAATTATCGACATCCTAACAACTTGTTTAGGTTGTTTGTGTATGACCTCACTAGGGGCATTACCCTATACTCTTATTTCACATACTCTCTTGGACTTCATTTCCTAGGTTACAGGAGATTCATGCAATGAATCGGCACGTAAAACCTCTTCTAGCCTCTGGAACGGAAGTCTTGCAAGGCTGGGAGGAATGTAGCACTAGGCTTGCCCATGTTCGGCTCTTTCTGGATTGCATCCCCCTTTTTAGTATTGGACCCTACTTACAGGGCAGCGACAGGGGGCAGCTCCAGGTCTCCCCACTTCAGTCTTAGTGAGGTGCCCATCTTCCCCCACAACATACTTGTCCTGGGGATGTCACTCTGAAAGCAACCTGCTTGTATTTCTGTGGCAACATTTATTTTCTACACACACCAAGGTAAAAGTCATGGCTACGTTAACTTGCTTGGGTAATTTTGATCTGTGCTACATGGTCGTGAGTGGGGTGTCGAAACCCTGCGCTGTGTACTGTTATGATAATATCATCCTTTATTGAGTTTTAAAATAAGAACAGGAATAACATAGCTCACATTTATAGCACGTGTACTATCTATCTGTTGCCCATATCTCTGAGATACATTTTATACATTTATTACCTTCTTGAGTTCTCAGAAAAAGGTGGTCCAGACAGAGTGTACACAAATTTTTATCTGAATCCAGTTAAGTGACATAAGTGGGATTTCAAGTTTTAAGTTAGCAGCTTGTCCTGTTGTCAAAGCAAATTGTTCTGAAAATGTTATATATACAGAAGAACTGATATTTGGTGTGATGATTATAGTATTAATCTGATAGTCTTAGAAATGTTTATATAAATATATACATCATATATTTTATTGTTTCACATATGACACACAGATGAAATCACTGTTACAGGAACAAACATTTAAAAATTTTAAATAATAATATACGTATTTTACTCTACTATAGAAAAATGTAAATAGAACTGTAAAGCTTTTTGGAACAGTGTGGACAGAAAGAGAACAGAACTGAGGTAAAGTTTCATAACATCTCTTAACTTCTGCTCTTTTCTCAAAAGTTACTTGAAGGCAAGGTGGGAGAATTCACAAATCTTTTGGGCTCTACATAAATCTTTATCAGCCTAACAATCACCACATCTCAGAAGTGCCCCCAGTGGTCTATTTTCTACCTATTACAAAAATTACACTAAACACTATAGAAAAATTACATCTCTGAGTTCCTATTTGCATTCTGAAAGCCCCCCTAAATACTTCTGCAACAGCTGACCCTATGCAAAAGTCCCCCTTTTTAGAGAGTTGCAGGAGATTATAAGCAGTAATTTTTTTCTTACACAGGTTTTAAAACATGGCCTCACCCCAAAAGACTGAAAATCTATGTTCAGATGAAAAGTAAGACATATGTTAGGGTATTCTATTTTGTCACAAAATATGTCAGAGGTCTCTGCATTTTGGAACTGGATGAGAAAACTAGGGTCTAGGTAGTAGAAAAGAGAAAGGGACCAGGGCGACTGCTGAGGCAAAATTACTTGGGTCCCACCTGCTCTGTCTTTTGATATGCTGCCGCTTGAAAAGCAAGGATTTCAAGCCTGGCTGTGACACATCCTGACTGTGATGGTGGGAAAGTATTTACATGCTTTGGGTCTGTTTTTCATGTCAGCAGAGAAATTACAATAATTGTACCAAATAATTGCTATGAAGAATAAACGAGATAACATATGAAGTAGGAATTACATTGCACATGGATTTGGCTCATATGCCATTTTTCATTTAAACTTTCAAATATTTTTTACTTCATTTTACCTTTAGAATCACATCTCTAGCAAGTGATACTGATTTGAATTTCAAGTAGGGATAGATGGATATCTTTCTGAATGAACTTGCATTCAGAAATATTTAAAAAAATATATTGATTAAATTGCAAAATAGCTGGTGTCAAGTTATGGCATCTATTCTACACAGCTCCTGACATAGATCTATGATCCAAACTCTTATCAATAGAAATTTCCAACCACCTTTAATGGGTAAACTTGATTCTAAACATACCAGATCTGAAAATTTTATTTTTGTAAGAAAAATACATTTCTCCAACTTTCTTCATTGTCCACATTTTCTGTCTTCCCTTTGAGATCGCCTCGGCTAATTTTTTTTTTTTTTTTACGTTTTTTCTGGCTTTATTGAAATATAATAGGCAATTAGTTGCTCATATTTACATTGTTCAATTCAATGAGATTTTTTTCAGTTATAGTTGGCATACAATAATATATTCATTTCATTTGTACAGCATAGTGATTAGAGATCTATATACCTCACAAAGTGATCACTCCGCTAAATCTAGTACCCCTCTTCCCCCTTACATATTTATTACGTTGTTAACTATTTTCCTTTTGCTACACTTTATATGTCCCTGACTCTTTTGTAACTATCCATAGATACTTCTTAATCCCTTTGCCCTTTTCCGCCATCTCCCTCTACCCTCCTCCCATCTAGTAGCCCTCAAAATATTCTCTGGATCTATGAGTTTTTTTCCGCTTTTGTTGTTGTTGTTTATTTCATTCTTTAGATTACACACGTACATGAAATCATGCAATATTTGTCTTATCTGACTTAACTCATTCAGCGCAATACCCTCTAGGTCCGACAAGACAATATCTTTACCCGCCCCTTTCCTTTTAGTCTGTGTGTGTCTTTTAATCTGAAGTGAGTCTCTTGTAGGCCTCATATGGAGGGGTCTTATATTCTTATCCATTTAGCCATTCTTTCTTTTGGTTGGAGGACTTAGTGCTTTTCCATTTGAGGTACTCGCTGATAGATATGTAGGTATTACGATTCTTTGTTCCTCTTTTTGATACGTGCTTTTTCTGCTCAAAGAAATCCCTCCAACATTTCCTGTAATACGGGCTTGGTGTTAATATTTTTTTAGCTTATTTTTGTCTTGGAAGCTCTTTCTCTGTCCTTCGACTCTAAATGATAGCTTTGCCGGATAAAGTATTCTCGGTTGTAGATCCTGGTTTTTCATCACGATGAATATTTTAAGCCAAGCCCTTCTGTCCTGCGTAGTTTCTTTTGAGAAATCGACTGCCAGCCTTATGAGTGCTCCATTGTAGGTAACTAACTGCTTTCGTCTTATTACTCTAAAGATTCTTTGTATTGATCCTTTGGCATTTTAATTATGATATGTCTTGGTGTGGGCCTCTTTTTTTTTTTTCTTCTTTTATTTCTTTCTTTATTTGACCCCTTTTACCCTACCTCTTCCCTCCTCCCCCACCCCCTACCCTCTGGTAACCACTAGTCTATAGTCCATGTCCATGAGTCTATGTTTGTTTGCCCTGCTCATTTGTTGCTTTCAGGTTTATATCCCACATATAAGTGATATCATGTGATTTTCAGCTTTGTCTGTCTGCCTTATTTCGCTTAGCATGATTATCTCGAGGTCCATCCATGTTGTCACAAATGGCACTATTTCATCTCTTCTTATGGCTGAGTAATATTCCATTGTGAATATGTACCACAGTTTCTTTAGCCAATCATCTATCGTAGGACACTTTGTTTGCTTTCAAGTCCTGACTGCTGTGGATAATGCTGCTATCAACATCGGTGTGCAAATATCTTTTCGGATATGGGTTTTCAAGTCTTTGGGGGTAAATACCCAGTAGAGGGGTTGCTGGGTCATATGGCAGATCCTTTCTTAGCTTTTTGAGGAACCTCCATACTGTTTTCCATAGTGACTATACCAATTTGTAGTCCCACCAGCAGTGTATGAGTGTTCCTTTCTCTCCGCATCCTCTGCAACATCTGTTATTAATTGTTCTGTTGATTATAGCTATTCTAATAGGTGTGAGATGATATCTCATTGTGGTTTTGATTTGCATTTCCCTGATAGCTAGCGATGTCGAGCGTCTTTTCATATATTTGTTGGCCATTTGAATGTCCTCTAGAGAGAAGTTACTGTTCAGGTCCTCTGCCCAATTTTTGATTGGATCATTTGTTTTTTTTTTGTTGTTATTGAGTTGTGTGAGACCTTGTATAATTTGGATGTGAGGCCCTTGTCGGAAGTGTTGCTTGCAAATATATTTTCTCATTCGGATAGTTGTCTCTTTACCTTGTTGACAATTTCTTTTGCTGAGCAGAAGCTTTTTAGTTTGATGTAGTCCCATTCATTTATTTTAGCTTTTACTTCCCTTGCTTTTGACGTCAAACTCATAAAATCCTCTTTAAGTCCAAGGTCCTTGAGTTTCATTTGTATATTTTCTTCAATGCATTTCATTGTTTCAGGTCTTATATTCAGGTCTTTAATCCATTTTGAGTTAATTTTGGTATGTGCTGATAGAAAACAGTCCAGTTTCACTCTTTTGCA